GATAATAACTTCCTTCCCCCCCCACCCGCCCCCTCTCTTGATCATGAGTCATATATGATTCTGAAAAGTGAGCAATTGAAAATCGATGTACCTCTCATTTTGTATGGTTACTCAAGTCAATTTTGCACAATCGTTTGTGATTCTCTATTGGCAGTGATATTTTTCTCCATCGTGACAAAAATTTAATGCCCAAAAACCCAGCAGCATGGAGTGCATGGAATTTTCTTGGAAGTACAGACGAGAAAGTATGTTTGACTTACTGGCTTAATGTCCTTCAGGTAAGTAATATTATCTCTTTGCTTACATATTCCGCTGCCTGGCGCCATATTTTTTAATAAAGGAATGTGTAATTGTAGTCTCAATTAAGTACTTTTAGCTCTGGATGCAAGTACTCATAATTTTATCTAAACTTCAAAACTGAAGACAAAGTGTGGTTGCTTGTATTATATTGGGACAAACATACCATGGGGAAAGTTTTAGAGCTTCCACCAGATAATCACGATGTTACAATATAGGAAGTAAGGTTGAAGTAAATCAAGTACTGCAGGAAATTTTAGAGCTGCCACTTATCAGTAATTTGTAGTCTGCAAGGAAATTAAGTACTCCTATGCTGTTTAAATGGTATAAAATAGTATGCCATATATGAACCTGCAGAATCTTGGAGAAACAAGCCTACCTTTTCTTGTAACTCTCAATCCGGATTATATGCCACAACAAACCTTGCTTAAGTGGAAAACAGGCCATCCAGTACCATCTGTTGCTGCGACAAAAGCTTCTCTTGAGCTTGGTCGGATTCAAGGGAAGAGAGGAATTTGGTTCTGTGGAGCATACCAGGGTGAGCAGATTTGGTTATAAAAGAACCTTTACAGACTGTCTTTGTTTTGTTAATCACATTTGATTTTTCATACTTTCTTTCATCAGTTATATGTGCAGATACATCTGAGCTAAAGTAAATTTGAATATGGATAAATATGTTTCCATGAAGTGTAAATTGTAACTAAAGTATCCCTGTTGGCAGTTGGCAATCCATAGTCTTTTAATTTGCTGATCGTCTGACATCTAGGAAAATTAGAAATAAGTATGATAATCATACTTCTTCATTGTTTTTGTCCCTGAGAGATATTATAAGGTGATTTGATGCATGTTTTCATTCAAAAGATGTATGCCAAACTATTTTCTTTTATCTGGCAAACTTTCAGATATCTATATGTTTGTTCACTGACATTTCTATGTAATATCTTTTGGCTGAGGCTAGGAAACTTCATTTTCAGTAATTTACCATAGTAATTTAAGTCACTTTCCTTTCAGGCTATGGCTTCCATGAAGATGGATTAAAGGTAACTGTGGTTAGCTGTAAAATTTCATCTTCTCGGGATGCATTGCAATTATCTCTCATCTTACCATGTTATCAAAATAATGGCTGTTGATGTCACATATTATTCAAATGCTTTCCTGATGCATTTTTCACTAAGTTTTTTACCTTTCTAAAAGAATTTATTTAGTAGAATGCAGTTCACAAGTGAGGTTCACTTCTTTCCAGGCTGGGATGGTTGCTGCAAATGGTGTGCTGGGGAAACGTTGTTCTATTCTGAGCAATCCAAAACATATGGTACCCTCTTTGGTGGAAACAGGGGCACGCCTTTTTGTTACTAGATTCCTCAGTTATTTTATATTAACTGGCAGTGTTATGTGAGTTCTGAAAAGGTCTTATCATTCTTTTTTTTTCCTTCATTTCTTCTGGTTGTTATTTGTACTAATGTACGTATACTTGTCAAATTATTTTTTTTTGAAAAGCATTCACGAACTTTCATTGAAATAAAGGGAATGAAACATTCTCTTTCCAACATTACAGCAACGGTACACCATCACAGAATCCAGGAATATTGTTTGATATACCCTCCTAGTGTATACTTAGTGTATCTCTCTAAAATCCCCAAACATGGTCACCCCCTTTCAGATTCTCCAAGAATTCCCTACCTACATTGACAAAAATATTTATCAAAAAAGACAGTCCCCTTACCCTATCCAATTTCCCAGGGGACATGTACTAGATTTTACCCATTTTCCTGTTAAAAAAAACCCAGCAGCTGTGTTAGAAGGACTTTTACATTGAAAAGCCATAGACAACCATTAGCTACTAATACTGTTAATTGTTTCATCTGAAGCTATATTATCCGTTGCAAAAAAATATATTCAAGTAGTGCTAATTGTGAGGCATTTATCCTGTTCGTTATCCTTATGATTCTTTTCTGCTGTGCTCAGCCTGCATAAATAAGTTCAATATGCATGGTATGAACTGGCTAACTTGTTCACATCTCTTCATTCAGTATGAACAAGCTAGCTATGTTTAGATTTCTGTATCTTATTCAAATAAATGTAGTAGCTCTTGGACTTTTCCAGTGCCTTTATGCTCTTGATTCATTTAACCATTGTGAGTTTATACTTTTAATTGACATCTTGTACTTTTTTCATGAGCAGTTTATTGGAGGAAGGTGGCACAATGTTTACCTTTGAGGGAACTAGCACAAAATGTCCTCTAAAAACTGTGATTAAAGTTCACAATCCACATTTTTACTGGAAGGTAAATATTTTTGAAATCAATTGTTCATGGAAAATAACATGGAATGATTATACATTATTATGTCAAGCAATCTAAGTTATTATACAAAAATTAAAGGACATGATTTTGTTATGCACGATATTTCAGCAATTGATGAGCACTAAATTTGCTTTGTCAGGTTATGACAGAGGCAGATCTAGGCCTTGCGGATGCATATATCAACAGCGAATTTTCTTTTGTTGATAAAAAAGAGGGTCTCCTAAATCTTATCATGGTAATAAAATTCACAAGAGCCTAGAAATGGCAAAGAGTTATACCTACTGGTATTTACTTTCATAGAGTTTTCCTTGTTCACTGCAGATTCTCATTGCCAACAGAGATTTGAACTCCTCCAACTCAAAACTGAGTAAGAAAAGGTATCCTGTTCCTTGTAAGCCACAAGAATACAGTATTTGTATATTCTTCCTAAATCCCAGTTGATTTAGTATCTGACTCTTTTGCTTTAGGGGTTGGTGGACGCCTTGGTTGTTTACAGCTGGTTTAACATCTGCAAAGTATTTCTTGAAGCATGTCTTAAGGCATAATAGTCTTACACAAGCTCGTAGGAACATTTCTCGTCATTATGACCTGGTATGAGGCTATGATCATCAAGTTCCCTATTGTTACAAAGGACTTGGTGCTTCAGAAAGAAAACACCAAAAGAAGAAAATATATATATTGAACTTATTTAGTATCATGAGAACCAATAAGGTTGTACTATAATTGATATGGAACACACAAGTATACTAGTGTGTCGTATGCTCAATATGTATATATCGGATGTTATCTCTGCAGTTTTGTGAAATAAGCAAGTGCTTCTAATTTCTTTATTTTCTTTTGGACCATAATTGCAGTTTATTATGACATACCAAATGCTTATAATTGTTCTCTGGTTTGTGTTGCTAGAGTAATGACCTTTTTGCTCTATTCTTGGATGAGACAATGACATACTCCTGTGCAGTGTTTAAGGTTAGTTTGTCTATCAATAAGAATAAAAGAAATTTTTTACTTGGCATTTTGTGTAATTACTTATTAAATAAGATCCTTGGTAACTGTTTTGTGTGTGTTATAGACAGAAGATGAGGATTTGAAAGATGCACAACAGAGAAAGATCTCTCTTCTGATTGAAAAAGTAAGTCCTATCAGTAATAATATCATCATATTTTGGACTTTCTTACCATAGCCTGTCCTTTATCAAATTGTCCTTCTAATGTTCCAGGCAAGAATTTATAGTAAGCATGAAATTCTTGAGATTGGGTGTGGTTGGGGAAGCTTAGCTATTGAGGTTGTCAAACGAACCGGATGCAAATATACTGGCATTACTTTGTCCGAGGAGCAACTAAAATTTGCAGAAAATAGTGTTAAGGAAGCTGGACTTCAGGTATCTATCTATCTCATGAATAATACTGACTTGCTATAAATCTATATATATAT